AATCATCGTAGATACCTTGATCCTTTTTAGACCCTGCACGATTTCTGTGCAACTATTTTCTCTAAGTAGCATGTATTTCGAGATATTTTATTATGTTCATACTTCAGCTTAACATTACTGAGCACATCATTTCTTTTCTTCGAAATATAACTGAGCGTACATCATTGAGACATTTTCCTACTTTGTTCATGGATAAGCTCAACACTGACGTATCCAGAAAAGACTCCTGGATGGGGCTCAGACTTCACAACAGATACAATGCTATTAGTATAAAAACATATCGTAGGTTTGACGGTTTGGGGCCGAAGTCCTCTCTCCCATGAGTGCACCTTGTTGCTGCATGTCACTCGCAAAGGTTATGGGATTGTGAAATTCTGACACTACGAAATCGTAAAAGTAACTGCGAGGCGGTTAAGGGGAAATGCTTCCTTGGAAGCTATATATCGTTTTTCAAAAAACAAACAGTGCTTTTTTGACGGAAATAAGGTATTTCCTGTTATCTTAATTGACAACTTATCTGTTATGATGGGAATTGTATATGAACGTTAGGCAATACTTAAATACTGTCAGCTCTCAGCTTGTTGGACAGTTAAGCCGTGGTAAATAAAATAATTAATCGATTAAACTTCGTTTAAACAAAAATATCTCCGCTTGCGATAAAAACTTTTCAGCGGGACGCTACGGTGATGCGATAAAGTCGCTTTAATTAAGATATGATAAGGAAGTCACCCGACGTTAATTTTCCCTAATTAGGAAAAGCACAGCGTAGACTATAAAGAAATAATTGGAGAATTAATTTTCCTGGCATCTCAGAATTTTTTGTTGCAAGTAATTTAGGACGGGTACCACTCATCTGGATCTTTTAATTAATTCTGTTATATTAAGCCTTAAAGGGTGTCATTTCAACTGTAATGTATCCCAGTTTTTACCCTCGAAGAGGCCAGTTTACTTTTCCCCGGACACTAAATATAATAAATATAATATAATCACCTTACCGCTCGGGAAATGTCACCAAAAGCGCAAAGAATCACTTTACCGCTCGGGAAGTGTGTTTGATCTGGGCGATTCGAAGCGGAACCTTAACCTCGGCGGTAATAGTTTACCTTGCACAGGATTATTTCGACAACCGCAAGAATTTCCTTTGTTCTTGTTAATAAAAAACCATATACATACACAGCATTCATATTGTCATGACATTTCTAGTACGATCGCAGCCAGCATCAAGCGCTTTCGATACTTTGTTGCTCTAGAGTAACAAAGCTGTAACTTGCAATTTGTCTTTAGTGAAAGTTAACTTCGAGTGCCGAACTACGAGGAACAACAGGTGCTTTTTAAGGAAAAAAAATTCCTTTACACAATAATTCACTGTGCATTTAAAACAAAAAATGTAGTGTACTCGTAGGAATAAAATAATTAGATGACATAAGCCCGAGCTCCGATTCTAAGTGAATTTTTTTACAACGCCAAGGTAATTTTGATACAGTACCCAGTACAACTCAGAATGAGGTGTGAAAATGATCATGGCAAATCAAATGTATAATGACAGCCTCTCCTGGTTCAGAAATACAATTTTGACTGTATACTCGTAATACCTTCCGTGATGTCGATAAGGAATATGATGACAAGTCCTGTTCAAAACTGTACAGTAACATGCTTTATGACCATGTTCTCAACCACACCTGTTCACACAGACTTGTTTGAAAGAGGAAGCCATATCAATCACTGGAACATCAAAATAAACAAATTCCTTTTCGTTTTAGCAAACGTATCGATAAATCAATGGTAGCGATAATGAATCTCGAATGATTTGTAGCCAGTCGTTGTTATTATAAATAAATAGCGATGAAGTGTACGGGTATTGTATTACAGCGCAGACGATAGGTGCGTATTATTTATTAGCCATGTATACAGACTGTAAATGGAGAAATCAGCCAAGGTCAACGATCCAACGGACGATGGTCAACATTGTTGCATTGATATATGTGTCTTTCGACGCTGAATCCGAGTTTGAACGAAATGTTTACTCCCCTGGAATGCGTATTCGAGACTATAAAATGCCCCTAGGGGGGGGGGGAAGTAAAAAATTTAATTGCCTTATTACTCTCACGATAACATTACAGAGGTATTTAAAGACATTATAAGAACGTATCTGATTTTGTGGGAAATTGTGATATTCTACTATATGCTGATGACCTGAAAATTATCAAAGTAATTACTCACTCAATTACTGACTGTGATAAACTTCAAGAAGACATCAATAACTTCATCTGCTGGTGCAATTTAAATAAATTTCAATTGAATATAAGTAAGAGTAAGGTCATTAGTTCTTATAGGATACACAAAACGATTAATTTTAGTTATCAACTTGAATCTGTAGTCATGGAAAGAAGCTCTTAGAATTTTTCAGAGGGTCAAGTTATCTATAACACCGATACAATTTATCGTTACCTGACATGCCGCCTTAACACGCAAACACAAAAAAGAAAAATGCACAAAGAAAAAGACATGCCCTCGAAGTGGAGTACCAAGTCATAGTTCCATCATACTTGCCCCTCGTTCCAAACATTCTCTGGGTAACAGCCAATATTACCGTTTGAACTAAGCTGTCGCCTTAAGCTTCCACAACGGCGCATCAGCTTCATTCTCACATTCTCCCTTTCCGGAATCATACATTCGTCTCTTATATAGTTTGCACTTTCGATTCATCTGCCACACTCAGATTCACCTATTTCGCTCCTCTTTAAATCGATACAAATAGGCCGGAAAATTATCATGTCCCTACTTCATGTATTTCCCTTCCTTTCTCGCTAGTACTCCACTTTTGCTACCATTTTCTCATTACTTGATCTTGCATTCTAACCTTTACATCCCTCTTAAGCCCACGCAATCTTCCATTCGAACTCCTGCTTTCCTAGCTCTAATTCTGCGAAACCGTCTGCTTTAATCACTCCTTCATCCTGTCTTCTAACCCGTATAATCCTTACTTATACAGGGTGACTTCGAAGTTGAGTCATTTATTTTAACAGTGAGTAGATCTGATCAAAAGAAATGTTTTTTCCTTTAACATTTTTCTTGTAAAATTAAAGTAACAAAGTTATAGCCCCTTTAGAAGTTTGAGTACCGCCCTGTCTCAATAATAATATTATGTGCTCGTGTTTGGCAACAACGGATATAATCCGCCTTATCGGTTCATCGCATCGGAAACAAAAAAAGCGAAAGAATTTGAAATGCTTATCTCTATGTTTTTACTACAATTTCATTCAGTTATATTCAGTCAATGTGTCAGTCGGTAACGCGTGAGTGAATAGTGGTGTTTGTTGCGTGGCTCAAACGAAATCAAAAAATGGCACATGTTTACGAAAATGCTGAACTTGTGGACATGATTCTTATTTACAAAATGCTGCCGCGGCATCACGGATTTATGCGGATCGGTTTCCTAATCGAGTGCAACCAACCCCTCGTGCCTTTGTTAATGTAGTACAAATGGCTCGTGAATCAGGTGACTTAAGACCTCACAGGGGAGGGCATGCCGATGCTCCAAGACCGCACGATCAAATACAGGTCCGCACTGAAATACTTTTCGCGAGGATACTTTATAAAACAAGGTAACAATTTTTTATTTTTACACACATATTTTGGTTTATCTTCCTGCTACAACCATTATCTGAAAATTAATGACTCAACTTCAAAGTCACCCTGTATACATACTGTAACAAAAGGTTGTAACGCGTCAAATATCTGACGAATGGCTTATGTAATTTTTTCAAAAATTGGTAGGTTTAGGTCCAAAACCACGGCGGATCCGTTGATGATACCCGCGATGTTGTCAAATCTACAGTTTTTCAGAAACTGATAGTAACTTTCGTTTTTATAAATCTAAAGGAATGGTGCAATATTGAACAAAATCAATATTTGTACTCTGCGAGAAATTCTGAATACTTTTTGTTGAATATACGTTGACGTAGACCTCATAGTTTTTGAAATAACAATAAAAGGTATTTTTTCACCTAAAGACATTGAGTTTTGTTACAGGAGTTAATAAATATATGATTTATTTAACTAAAACCAGGGTCTACTCCAACACTGGATGTAAGTGAAAATTTCTGAGTGAAAAGGTGTATCATTCAGGACAATATTTAAGTAACTATTACTTCTCAGTGAGCGCGACCTATTGAACTAGTTCATTAAAATTTATTATTATTACGGTGTTGCCTGATTTCACCTCGCGTCTTCCAGTGTCACTGGGACGCTCTGAGAATCTTCTTTTGGGATTAACCTTGGTACTTCGGATGTGACTTCACCATACCGTGTCCTTTTTTGATGAACGAGTCAATTATGTTTCAAATAAAGGAATATTTGCATTTCAAAAAGCCCACCTATCCGGTGGTTTGCACTAAAAGCCGTTGACCTGCCTCTGCAGATTACTTTTTTAAATTAGTGTATGTTGCCTTCATAACCCCGCAACGTGGGTATACAGCTAGAGCAGAGATGATCATAGCGCGTTTCAAGCGTGGGCTAAATTGCCAATTTCCTACCGCACTTTTTCCGTGTACTATCTTTATGCTCTCATGTTTGTCTGTAAATAATCTAAAGGGTAAATAGCGTGGGTATCACTGCCGTGCCTTGGGACAAGAAAATTAATATTTATGTTCTTGTGTCTGTATTATTATGCTGTTTGGTGGTTCATAAACGTTATTTGTCTGTAACTACATAGACCGTGAGTACGAAGCTCTACCTGTGCCCGTATTCTTGACTTCAATAGAAAATCACACTCCCTCTCTTTTTCTACTCCCCCGGTTTTCTATCAATTCGAAAATACTGTATTCTTGAAAGGACTCGATAGGAAGGAGAAAGGAAATCAAGACACAGAGTTGCCAGGTTTGGGTAAATGTATTAAACCAATCAAAATGGAGATAATTTTGACTTTTTGACAGTCAAAAACTAACCAAAGATTTCGGCCAAGATTTTCTCATTATTTTATCTGTCATTTTATCTATGGAGTCGAAAACGTCCAAACAACACCTTACAAATGAGCAAAAGGAGAAATTGATTGAATTTCTGCGAGAACACCCGCAAACTCACCAGGGAAAATTCACGCCGGCATATACCAGTGCCCAGTCCAAGGCGTTATGGACTGAAATGACAAACACATTAAATGCGTTGCCTAATAGAGTTAGTAAAGACTGGGTGCAATGGCGAAAAGTAAGTATTACATTATATCTCTATCTAATTATACTATTAAATAATGCATTTTGCATTTGCTTGGTACTGACGTAAAAAAATTATAATCGTTCTAGACATGGATTGATATAAAAAAAATTCGAAGTCGAGACTAGCACACAGGAAAAAAGATCAGTCTGATACAGGGGGCGGTCCACCTCCAAGGCATTTTGATTATGTCGAAGACAAGATTATGGAACCAATTACTCCAGTTTGTGTCACTGGAAATGAGAATGTTCCAGACCCATTTGTGTTGGAAGAAATGCCTCATAGGGTAAGTGCTAGCATATCAGCATAAGATAAAATAATACTGAATTTAAATACTTGATTTATTACACAATCCAAACCAAGTGTATAGTATAAAGGTACAAGATATGTTACAAGGCATATACTAATCTTAAGAGATATTAAAGTATAGCCTGGTTTATTTGAAGTAGATATTTGTAGGACCTGATGAATATTTCACTTTTAGTTAGGATAAATGTTTTTCTAAATAGCAATAATGCACTTTTTTTCAGCTGGATTATGATTACTGTGGTAATTTGGAAGAAGACACAGATATGGCAATTGAAGTTGGACAGGCTGATGTTGCAAACACAGAATTAAATGACATAAATGCTTCCCAAGCTACAAATTTAGAATCCTTAAATCCTGTTTTAAATACTGACACAAGTGTCAAAAGACCACATAAGAGAGTTAACAAAACAATATGCTTAACAGAATCTATAAAGAATAATAAAAGATTTTTACAGCTACCCATGGAGTCAATGAAAAGTATAAAAAATTATCAGACTGAAAAGCTTAAAATATTGAAATCGTATTATGAACAAAAGATAAAAAATGAAAATAGGAAAGCCACAACACTAGAAGATATTTCTAATAGTATTAATAAAGCATGTGAATATATGAATTAATTTAATTATTCAGTTTATGATAAACCTTTGAAGTGTTATATCTACGCACCTGTTAGAATTAACTTTTGTGAATAATTAATGCTTAGACTTGAGACTGGTATGAACCTGTTAAAATTAACTCAGGATCAATCTTGAAGCCTTACGTTGTTAAGTTAGAGTGCTTCAAATTATTTATTTTTTTAGAAATAATTCTTTGGTTTAGTCAGATTTGTTTTTTAAAGGATACTTGTTTTGTTTGTCTGTTTTAGTTAGTGCCTAACTTAAGATTATTTATATTAAGATTGAAATCAAACCAATTATAGTTTTATAGCAATGTTCGTACCTGTTAGAATAAAGAACAAATGTCTTTTTTACAAATTTTGGAATTCATTAGTGTAGATATTTATTTTATCCATTAAAATGATTTAATATTATGTTCTCCTGTATCTGCCTTGCAGTAGCTAGGTCAGGATTTCCAGCTACTCTTCTTTGCTGTAGGTTTTACTACAGTGTAATGCCATAGTCCGGCTCTTCTGGATGTGGCTCATCTGGGTCAGGTATACGATTATCAATGCACATATTGTGTAAAACACAACATGCATTAACAATTTTTCCTGCTATCGTAGGACTATAGTGTAGGGTCCTGTACCATAAAAGGCATCTAAACCTGTTTTTCAAGACACCATTACATTATTTTGTTTCTTGAAAGTTACATCTCTCCAAAGAATGTCTCTACAAGTTGTTGCATTTTAGAAAAACTAAGAAGAATACCTAATATAACACTATGCCGCTAATTAAGAAAACTTACCTTCTACGCAGAACGCATCAATTGACGAAATTATCCATTTTTTGCAATACGTTTAACGAACGACAATAACAATGCCAAAAACGTCAATTTTTAGGTTATATAGCGATATTTTCTACTAATTTTTCCAGTTTCTCTTGGTCGGTACCAAGAGAAATCGCGACTTCCTAAAGTGAATTAATTTCTATCACTTTTCGGTAGAAATAATTTCAAGAATACCGCATTTCTTGGCCACGCCCACTTTTTGCCACTTTCTCTTACAGTTTCTACTCCCTCAAACTCAAGAATAGGGACACTGGAAGGACATATACAAATTTCCTCTTCCTGTTACGAGCAAATATACCAAATGACAATAGAAAAAAGAACAGCCAGGCATAATGTACTTATTACAAGGATTTTCTAGTTATATTTTATTTAGATTAGAGAAAAAACTATCAGCTTTTAAATCATACGGATAAATTAGCTTCTGTGATATCGTTTGTTTTTACAATAAACCGATAGTTATGCTTTGTAGCTACAATTGTCATTTGATCGCCATACAATACGCTGTGAACAGCTGCTTCAATATTTTGATCATGCCTAGAGTGAGCAGAGAAACTCGGAAACCTTTCAACAGCATAGCGAGTTGGATCTGGTGCGAATAGTGGCTTGTGTGAGGCTGATTGGTCTTTCAGATAAATAGGCTCCACTGTACACAGAAGTGCAAATACGGTGACAGTTTGTTGTCGGGCATAAAACTAGGAGGGCCGTACATAAAGATTTTGAAGGACGGTCCCACACCAAGGTCGCCGCCTTAGGCTTTCGGCTCTACGCGACCGCTTCTCGTCCAATGTTTTGGAGAGCATATACATACATGCAAGCTGCTCATCGCAGGCTCTACAGTTTTGGACTTACTTCATACCAGCCTCAATTTATCCTACCTTTTACTCCTAAGCACCGGCTGTACAGAACGGCTGACCTGGGACCTAGCATGGAATACTGTTGTCTTTGGTGATTTCTGCACTAATTGTTTGATCCTGTTTGACTGACTTGATCCATTTAATTATTTTTTATACCTACATGGACCTAGCTAACTTCTTTTCATTCATTTTTTGGTGCGGCACATAATCCTCTATGAAATGATGACAATTACAACCCACCTGATGCCATGTTTATTATTATTATTATTATTATGATAATTGAGATGAGCAGAGTACACAGTACTCATGCAGTCAATATAGTGTACGGACACGTAACACAAATACATCAAATAGAAAAAAATAAAAAAATACAGTTCATAGCTATAAAGTTTGTACACTCCTCCAGCTATCATACTGCACTTTGAAGCTATTAACTGAAGTAGCACCAACCACACTTTCAGGTAAACTATTCCAGGTGTTGAGTATGCGGTTGGGAAGAAACCACTGTCGGACTGTTGTCTTAAATGGCTCCTTATGCAGTTTGAAGCTGTGTCCGCGTAGATTGCTGCGCGATAGATGGTATAGATGCATGAGGTTGGTGCCCATCAAACCATGAAGTATCCTGAACGTAACTATAAGATCGCCACGAAGTCTTCGCTCAGAAAATGAGGTCAGGTTAAATAATTCAAGGCGATCTTCATAGCTTGGTCTTCGTGCTCCAAAAGGGATACGAGTAGCCCGACGCTGTACTGATTCGACGAGATTTCTATCGCGCAGAAGCACAGTGTCCCATACCGGGCCAGCGAATTCAAGAATTGGCCTCACGAATGCCTTGTAAATGTAGGCGCAAGTGTTGACATCGGATCCTTTGAAAGACCTCTCCAGCATATATAGAAGTTTCTTGGCTTTTGATGTAACGTGGTGAATAAGGTCTGACCAGGAAAGACGATCGTTGACTACAACGCCCAGATCAGTGTGGCTCGAAACTGCTTCGATGTTGTGGTCAGAGATCTTGTATGTAAATCGCAGGTGAAGGACACAACACTTAGTTAGATTTAAGGGTAAAAGCCAACTGACTGACCATTGACAAACAATATCAAGATCTCGTTGAAGCATAGCAGAATTTACGACAGTATTGTAAATCTTGGTGTCGTCGGCATAAGCTGAACATGTGGAGGAAATCAATGCGGGCAGGTCACTTGTATACAGAAGGAACATCACTGGCCCCAAGACAGAGCCTTGAGGAACTCCACTTGCTACATGATGAAGGTGAGACTGGCTATCACTGACGCGCACAGAGAAAGTCCTCCCGGTGAGAAAAGCCTTAATCCACAGTAACAACTCGCCTCTTATTCCCATACATTCCAACTTAAACAGAAGCCTTCTATGTGGTACGCGATCGAAAGCCCTAGAAAAATCTAAGTAGATTATATCAACAGGAGTCTTTGTGTCCAGATACTGAGTCCAATCGTTGAGAGAGTGGAGAAGGTTGGTCATTATTGATCGACCAGGGAGAAATCCATGCTGATTCTTAGGGATAAGGTCATTTTCGAAAGCAAATGACTGGAGCTTATCTAATATGATTCTTTCAGCTATTTTGGCGGCGATACGAACGAGACTTATTGGTCGATAATTTTTAGCGGAGGATTTGTCGCCCTTTTTGAATACAGGGGTAACAGAAGCACTAAGCCAGCATGAGGGTAGTATGAGATCTAAAAGACGATGTGAATATCAAGCTTAATGGTAGGGCCAGTGCTGAAGCGCAGTTTTTAAGTACAGCAACCGTCATCCCATCTTTACCAGGGGAGGAAGAGGTCTTCAGATTTCGCAGGTGCATTAATACATCTTCAGGCGGGAACTCAACTTCGCAAAGGCTGTTGGGACACCTATGGCAGATAGTGGTCGGTAGAAGGTCTCCATTAGGCTCATCGACGAAGTCATCACTAAAGGACTCTGCCAGTAAGTTGGCAGATTCGGTGGCATCCATGTGGAGATGACCGTCAGCGTCGCGGATCTGAGGTGATGAAACTTTGGAATTCAGGTTTGTTCTTAGATACCGAAACAGCTTCTTCTTATTTTTGGAGGTAACGAGTTTTCGTTCATAAGTATGTTTGGCATTATGTAACGTTCTAGATAGGAGGTTAGAAAAGGATCGATGAGACACGTAATCTTGTGAACGGCCACTCCTCCTAAACCGTTGCCACAAAGATCTCTTGTGACGAAGCATCCTCGATATGTTAGAGTAGATCCAGGGCTTTGAGGGGTCACAATATACCTTCTTTTCAACAGTATTGTCAGCCGCTTCGCTTAGGACTCGTTGAGCGAAAGTGTCCCACATATCTTGGGTGCTACGGTTGTTAAGCAAAGCAGGCCAATTGACTTCAGACAGGGTTTGGTTAAGAGCATCGTGGTTTACAATTTTGATGGTTTTAAACTTATCGGTTGTAGAACGACTATTTATATTGAACTGGAGAGAAGATAAAAGTGAACAATGGTCAGACTTGCCAAAAGGTGGCAAATAATCTAAATTAGAAACAAAGTCTGCGTCGTTAACGAATATCAAATGCAGAGCCCTAGGCGTCTGTCCTTCCCTGAATCTCGTTGGACGATCAACAAGTTGAGATATGCTAGAGTTGCGTAGCAATTCGATGTAAGCAGCAGAAGAAGAATTGCATTCAGGAATGGTTGACATAGGCCAGCTAATGTCACGTAGATTGAAGTCACCAGCTATGAAAAGGTTGGTGTTCTTATTTAAGAGATCTGAAATGAGACTGCACAGGTGTGTGTCTCCCAAACAGGGCCGTGGCCGATATATGCAGCCTATCGTGAAGCTGAAATTTGGGCACCTCAATTCCAAAAATAGATTGTCAATGCCATCGAAAGGACTGAAAGAGGGAGATACCGAGAAAGCCGACGCGATTTCCGTGCGAACATAAATGCATACTCCACCAAAACCAGGAGTGCGTGGTGAATCCATTCTGTATAAATAGTATTCAGGCAAATTGATGGAAGAGTCGGACACGTTGGAATGGAGCCATGTTTCAGTAAGGCAAACGAACGTTGGATTAATGTCTCGAACAAATGCTTGGAGTTCAAGTAGCTTAGAAAAGAGAGATTGTATATTAGTGTAACAAACCGTCCAGTTTGCCACAGAATTTATCAGTTTTTTGAAGGTGTGATCTCCTGGGTAGCTGTATGTACTATAGAAGGTTTACCACGAACGTATTTTATAGTAATATTACTTTCGCCTCTTGTTTGACGACGTCTAAGCTCTTCGCGAAGGTGTTGTAGTTCTTACATTTGACCTCTGGTTTTGT